ATTTTTCACTCTTTACACTTTACAAAACAGTATTACAAATCAACAAATAGTCCATTTTTTCAGTAATTATATGTCATCTAACTACAAATATATGGAAATGAGATAGAAAACAAAATTATTCTAGGAAAATATACTATGAATTTAGACTTTGCAAAATAGTGTCATAATATAGTTTCAGATATAGTTCCAGTTTGTATAACAGTGTTACGAACAAGAAATAGTTTCATTTTCACTTTTAATATGTCATCGAATGTTATAATATGATCTCATTATCTGTCATACTTATTTGTTTTTCCAAAAAAAAATGTAGATTGGATTGTGGCATATTTGTCATTCAATTTGCAACCCAAGAAGTATTTGCCAAAAGAGTTTAAATTACAACTACACTTGTGAATCACGAGAATAGTTATGCAAATGGACTAAAGAAGATACTTGAAGACAGAAGACAACAAAATAAACATGGTCAATATGATGACATTCCTGATGAGGATTTTATTACATTAGCTTGAGTTTTACAAATTACGTTTTATATCAATGTACATCTACATACAAAACCCCGAGCTCAGGTGGGCTTGTATGATGGTGCCCATCCCATACTTGCGTACGTTTTATAATTTTTTTTCCCTAGGGGGCCTAAAACCATTACTCATCTAAAGAAACCATATAAAAATGAAAAAGAAGTTTAGTATGAAGCCAATCAACTTCACATACCTAATTCTTTGAGTTATAACTTATAAGAATGAGAACTATACTAAAAAATTTCACATGCTTACATTTTGACACTTCCTTTTTTGTTAAAGTTCCCTTTTATTATCCAAAGAATATAGTTACCAAATTAGATAAATTTATGCAAAATAAAAAACTAGATAACTTAAACTGTTTCTGAAATACATGTACACACTATATCTAAAAAATGAAAAATAACAGCTTTTTTTTTTTTTTCAATTCCAAATCAACACCCAAATTTCCCATCCTTCACGCATAATTAACGTCCAGCAAAAATCATCATTTCACTCTCACGCTAACTTCACTTTCTCTCCCTAACACCAACTCCCATTTTCACGCACAGATAAGCCATTCACGATGAAGAAACTACATGCACTATAAAAAAAACTAGAAACCCAACCCCCAGCCCCCAGCTCAAATCATTAATCCTCATTTCCCGATTTCGTACATCATTCCAGTTCTTTTACGGACGAATTCACGCAAATTTCAACTTCGATGAGCAACTTGGTCGCAAAAATACCCAGAAAATAAACAAAATGTAACAATCTTACAATTTTTCTCAACATGTTTCACAAAATCATACGGTTCATTATTTATATAACAAACATCTACTGGAATCAAACATATAGAATAACATGCATCAACTTAAACAAAACCCAGATTATACTATTTGCTTAAATTTATTTTGTTATTTACTATCAGTACGAATCCATCACAGATCCACCCAAAAAAATACTATTTACTAGCTAATCGTTCAATATATAAACATACCTTATGCTATTACACGAACTAGTGTGATTCTTTGTTTGTAATTTTTACATTTGAGTAAAATAGTTCACGATTTTTAAGTTTAATAAACATTATTTACGAAATAGTTTACAATTTGCTTCATTTGTAAATAGAAGTGAAAAATACAGAAATAGTAAAAACTGGGATGCATTCACGAACAAGTAGTATAAACATATATTACGCTATTGCATGAACTAGTGTGATTGCTTGTTAATAATTTGTACATTCAGTAAATAGTTTGTGTTTTTTAAAGTTTAATAAACAGTGTTTACAAAACAGTTTACAATTGCTTCATTTATAAATAGAATTGCAATTTTTCCAAATCTTACACATAATACACCTCCTATTGTACATTTTTATTTCTAATTTATTTAGTTATATGAATCTTATAAAGATTTATGCAGTTATAAAAATGTTTTTTATTTCCATAAATAATAATTCACCTTGGTATGTTTCAAATATAATTGTGTACTCATACTGATTTTTATTTGTTTACGATCAAGTTGCATTCTAATAAAAACTATATTGACAGATGGTTTCAGTTAGAATAACTGTACAAATGTCAAACTCAACCAAAGCCAATATCAAAATGATATCCAAAACAACAAAGAGGACAGAACAAAGGAAAATGCTTGGAAAAATAGAAAACAAATCACGTACGAAGAAGGAGACAATTCATCTACAGATTGACACCACTACTGAAGAAGAAGTTGGAGAACCAATGCAAATTGCAAAGAAAAAGGTGCAAAAAAAAACAACCACTACAAAGGCAGAGGAAGAGGGAGACACAACCTAAAGAACAAAACAATTGTGAATCAAGGATGCAGAAGAAAAGATGTCAAACACTCCAACCACCAACAGCAATCAAGAGAAAGAAAAAGAAAAATGACAAACCAGTTCCAAAGAAAAAGAAAAAAGAAAATGCCAAACCAGTTTCAGAATCAAACAAGCAACAAGTTGAAGAAGCAATAGTGCAAAAAGAGGCAATACAACAAACAAATAAACGTAGTGGCAGAATTGACACATTACCGGACAAAAATATTTCACCAATGGCAAAAGAAAGAGAACAAGAAACAGATATTGAAGCTCTAAAAAGCAACAATGCTCTCAACAAGAATGATCTACAAGTCAAAAAGCAAACATTAAGCCAAAAAGCAACAAAGCCAACGACAAAAAACAGAAAGAAAGTCTTGGGTGAAATTCCATCATTCAACCTGGATTTAAAAGATGAGCCTTCTTCACAACTGGATGACCTTCCAGCAACAAATCACATAGACAACAGTGTGAATTGGACACAACTTCAAGTGTACAAGATGCTGAAACCAGATGATAGAAGAAAAATAACTTAATTCTGGTCAATAGACAACAGGTAAGTAATACAAAACAAAACTCTTAACTGAAGTTTTTTTACACACTCCCATAACTTTATAAGCACAAACGAATTATTGTATAACTAATATTTTTGCACTGTCCTGCAGCGATGAATACTGGACGGCTGAAACTATAGATTTCAACTATTACAGAATAATGGTGTTGAAAGAAGACCTGCACAGTTTGATGGCAAATGGACCTACATCAACTCAGATTGTTGATTCTTTCTGCTACCTGAAAAGAGAAAAAGAGAATATCACGAAACAAAAGAACTTCTATGTCTCCACAACAATCTTTGTGAGTAAACAAAACAACTAATATTCTGCAAAAAATTATTTACATATACATATAAAAATTAGAACAATTAATCTGTAATTATGATGTTTGATGATTTTCATTTTCAATAGCACAACATCAATGAACAAAGCATTGAAACAACTCTGCAAAACAAGGAAATGCTCTACAACCAATTGATGGACCAATATGGAAAAATATCAAAGATTTTCTTCCCATTGTTTCATCACAACCATTTCTCCTTGGTAGTTTTGGACACAAAAAATGCAGAAATGATTCACTACAATTCTCTTCGACAAAGCACAACAGATGAAGATCTGGACTTTGATTGCTACTGAGAAAATGCAGAAATAGTGGTAAGCAAAAATGCACAACCAAAAACTCTGTCATATTTATAGAAAACAAGCATCTTATTATTACATTATAAATTTTTGCAAGGCCACTTTGTTCAATATTGGCTCGATAAAGCAAGAAAATCAACAAGCAATTCAAATGTTATGGATTCAACTCAAGCCACAATGAAGAAAATCAATTCCATCAAAAGTGACTTTGAATTCTAAGTCAAAGAAGACAGAACCTGTGCACAACAAAAACCAACATTGTACGTTATAAAATTAAAAGCATTTTAGTTATATATATGTATAGTTTGTGCTTACTGCAGTTTCAGAAACAATATGAATAATTTGATATAGTTATAGAAATAGTTTGTACCACACACTTCATTTCATTTTAATACTCATAATCATTCCATGAATTTCTTTGTAAATCAGATTAGATTGCGGCTTATACATGATGGGCTTCATTGACCAACTATCAACTAACCGGAAGGTTCAAGGACGTATCAAGATTATCAAGTAATGAAAGCAAGGAAAGATATCATCATGGATTTGATGAACCATGATTTCAGCTGGACAAAGGAACAAGAAGCATATATCAAAATCTCACAACAACTCACAAGCATTGGACATTAGAATAAAAAATAAAAAATACGCATTATATGTAATTTTGATGTGGATGTACTTTTTAAGGTTCAAGATAAAAATCTGAGAGATGGTGAAAAGTATTGGTCTAACTGAAGCAATACTTACATGTTCAAGCTTACTTTTGCTATGATTTACAAATGGCATTGTCAAACATGTTTGACACAACTCTATATATATAAATAAATATATATATATATATATATGTTTCATGACTTAATCTAAATTTTAATCTATTTTGATAAATAGTTCAGTTTGCTTTGTTAAAAAGTGTGGGTTTCTAGTTCAGTTTGATAAATAGTTCAGTTTGCTAAATAGTTCAGTTTCCTTTGATAAAAAAATGGTTTTCTAGTTCACTATCATAAATAATTCATTTTGATATATAGTTCAGTTTGCTTTGGTAACAAAGTGTGGTTTTCTACTTCACTTTCATAAGTAGTGTGGTTTTTTTTCATTTTCTCTTACCTAAAATGGAATATTAACTAGATCAATAATGAAAACCAACATACTTGCCTCCTACAAAATGCAACACACAAACTTACATACAACCTACAAAACTAATATTGAAACCACAAAGCCATAAACGTAGATATGTATTCACTGTTTATCAAACTCAACTATTTATCAAACTGAACTATTTATCAAACTCAACATACTGTTTCGTAAAACTGGAAATACTAAAACATTGAATTCATATTTATTACTTGAACATAATTCCAAATCAATAATTACATACTCCCAAACACCAATTGAAACAAAATAAAAAAAAAATTATCCAAAATGAAAATCTGTTACATATCACTAAAAACTCCCATCTCTCAAAACAAAAAAGAAAAAAAATCAACTCTCTTGTATAATAACTTTACATGAAACCTTGTTATGTCCCGAACGACCACACCTACTACAAGTGACAGTCTTCTTACTCGCATTAATTTCCCCAGCAGATTTGATCCTAGTTTTCTTTGGTCTTCCAGATGGAATCTTTGTAATTGGAGGCCTCACACCATTTATGATAGTATCAACATTCGGCTTTTCCAAATCTGAAAATTGATGCATGACAAATTGATATGTGTTCCGATAAAAGCTTGTTTTCCAGTAATCATCAACATAATCAAAAACATCACGATTATCATGTTGCAACACCTGCAAAGCATGAGAACATGGGAAACAATTATGCTGCCATTGCACACAAGAACATGTCCTACCATCCAGACAAACAACAAACCGATTCCACTCCGTCCTAACTTCAAAAACATCTGCATCAGAACGACTAATCCTCCAATGCATGCCCTCCTTCAACATCAACTTCATCTCATTTTCTTTCTTTGGACACAAAATCGTATGAATATTCTGACCAAATATTCTTTTCTCAGCCATACTACCCATCAACCGAACTCTAATGTCTTCAAGAATATCCATAAGTGGCATACACTGACTATTCGACACCATGGCGTTAAAAGATTCTGAAAGTGCATTGCTCATCGATCCCCATCTCTTACCAGGAAAATGGGCAATAGCATAGTTCTCTTTTGGCAAATCACACAAAAAATTCTTCACATGCCCTTGCCCATTATCCTTGAATTCAACCATGCAATCATCAAAATCAGATGGGGTACATGCGTACGCACAATTTGCCAACAGATTCATCATTTTCTTCTTTAGTCCTTCACCAACAGCCTTTGGAAATAAAGTACTCACATTCTGTTTCAAATGAACAATACAAAATGAATGTGGACACTCGGGAAAGAATTCTCGAATGCTCTTCAAAATACCATCATGTCTATCCTACATAAATGTGATCACCCTGAAGGATTATTTTGTGAAAACATGTTCATTTAAACAACATCATATAGCATGCAATTAACAATTAAAGGCGGAATCATGCTAGCATGCACTTAAAAACAAAACATTAACCAAGAAATTCAAAGCCTAGTAGATTGGTGAACCAAAACTCAACTCAAAACAAAGTGAGTTGAAATTGTACCTTTGTAGATTCCTCTTTGCATAAGCAAAGGCTAATCACCCAAAGAGAGGGCCTTCATTCCTTACATCTTAAATCTATGGATTTGGATGGAAGAATAGGTTTTTCCAAGTTCCCAAAATTGAGAACCTCTAAGTCTCTTCACCAATGAGAGATTGGAGAAGAAATGAGTGACCTTGGAGTAGTGGGATTGCAAGATGCACCCCCAAGGTGGCCGGCCTCTTTAGAGAGAAATGGAGAGACAAGTTCTCACCAATTTTCTCCAAAACAAACCCTTATGAATTTTGGCTATAAAATCATATTTATACCTTTATTCATTTGAGTGGCAAACTTGTAAATAAGTTCAAGTTCACTACCCTAAACATCATGGCCGGCCTTGGGGTATTTTTGGATTGTTTGGGCCTTTGTGAATCATTATTCATTAAGTTGTCATACAACTTAAGTTAATGGGCTTGACGTTCGAAGCCCATTGGGCCTTAAGGTCCAAAACTATCCCGAGGTCTTTAACGAACTTATTCGTTTGATTAATTAACATATTAATTAATCTTTGCCATAAATAAATGATTAAACCATTTAATCATTCTTACTCATCTCCATTGTTTCTTCAATCTCCTCCTTACACGGTGTGCGATCCATTAGGTTCCTTTTAGCGAGGCAGTGGGCGATTAAAACCATTTTACATCGATTGTGAATTGAAACTTACTTTCAATTCTCCCTTTAGTGATTACACACGTTTAGGGCTTCCACAAACCATGAGTGACACCTTGCAGCATATCATGGTTACCCAAGCTAATCAGAAGAGGTAGAGAAAACCTATTCAGTTTGGGATTACAAATGCGATACGGTCTTTCTCTAATACAATACTCTTGACCACATTGTTTGGTTTGATAGTTTATTTATTCATGTCTACTATCCAATGTGATTCGTGTGCTTATATGATTACCTTGAATGTGATTTGGAACGTTTTTCCTAAATCTCATTCATACTTTGGCCAAAGATTCTTAATCATATCATAGAGTATTCTCCCTCAAACAGTTTGAAGGTTAGAGATCCCTTGTTGCGCATTCACTTGCCTCCATGACTAAGTGGCTTAATCCCAACGATGCCGTGGACACTCCAATGGAATGACGTTTGACATAATCAAAGATCAAGGACTTAACCACAAGACAACTGTGATGCCTCAGGTCAAATGACTACTTTGCATTATCCCAACCATGAGTTCTCATGTGACATGAGTATGAGAACTCTTCGTTGATCGCGTTCAGTGAACTCATTCTCTACTGAGCACCTACGTACTTGTCTTGATGTCACACACACCAATGACTCGAGACTAGTCACTCTCCCTGAGAGAAGACATAGCACGTACCGATCTTGACCGACCGTCAATGCCCAATTGGCAATCCTATGATCAGGAACATTTAGGATGTGTCTACAAAAGAATGGTCTCATGAATCTAACTTCATTAGATTACATTCTCCCAATCACATATTCCTTGGACTTTATCGTTTAAGCATATAACATTTATATGAGACGACTCAAACAATAATCTTTGCCTTTTATAGTTAAACTAGATTAGTTTAACATGTGAAATGTCCGTAAAGTATCATCATATGATTGGATTTAGGGCACATTTCCAACAATCTCCCACTTGCACTAGAGCCAATCAGCTTGGTCATCAGTGATGATACCTCTTCTGTAGTCATTTCATAAATGGCTGAGTAGTAGGCCTAGGCAATGGATATCTATATGTTATCCATAGAAGCAACCTTGAGAATAACGACGTCACCATTATACATGATTCTCAATCATGTGGTTCAGTCTCTCATTTGAGTTCGGACCTTGATGAGACCTTGATTCCCTGGCTTGAGCTATCGCCCCATTAGTGTCATACACTTTCTGGTTGGAACCGAATAGAGAGTTCATAAATGAACTTTCCCATCCAAACAACATTGTTGTAAACTTCTATATGGCAATATATTTTGCATTCATAATGGAACACACTAAAGTCATTACTTTAATGTTTCCATCCAAATATCTCTTTAGTCATAATAAAGAGATATTTGATTATCTCTTCATTCATAATGAAGAAACATCCAATGATGGATTAGATTCATAATCTAATACATTTACGCTTCCATTACGTTACTCTAATTCTTCCTCGATCTTTGAGGAATTTATCCTTTAGTATTTCTTAAATACTTAAGGACTCACTTGACAGTTGCCATGGTTCTGATCCTGGGCTTGCACTGATATCGTCTTGTACCGTTCTAGGTACAACTCATATCAATGTTTTTCATACAATATGAAATACATAAATCACCTTTGTGCGTATGCATAAAGGATTGTATTTACGCATGATTTCTTTGGGAGTCAAAGGGTACGTTCCCTTTGAGAAGAGCAACTTGCTAGTCTCACTAGACTCGTCCTTCTAATTGAAGTTTATCATCATATGAGAAACTTCCTAGCATCTTTTGTCTATTATTAGGGATTGATATAATCAAAATTATATCTTGAAATCTATCATTATAGATTTACTTCCCATGTTTATAGACTATGTCTCCCATATACATTCTATCGTTTATAGAATGTTTAAAGTCATAACTTTAACGAAGAAGTATTCTTTTCATTTCCAAAATTAATATATCATATATACATTCATATATATCACATATATATATATATATATATATACAAATTTAGGAATATGATTAACTCCCACTAATCTTTGTAAACCTAGTAAACAAAAGATTCATTTACATCTTTATGAGAAAGCAAACGATTTGACCTTTCTCTCATAAGACGCTTATAGCTCCCACTAGCTTGCTAAGATCCGTGATGGATGGATCTCTACAACTTACATGTCTTGTGATTCATAGTTTTAGACATATATTATCAAGACTATCTTAATAATGGTTTCGGAAACCTATATTATGTCCAAACATTGAATCACCATTTAATTGTAGCTAGCAATCTTCGAATTAATTGAAACTAAGACTACGTCAAAAATGGTTCCTTCAAAGTCAACCATTCTCTTTGATTGTAGTCACCTTAAGCTACCAATTAGCTTATGAAGGTTTCATTATTTCGGGTCAAATGGTACTTTACCATTTCCTTGAGTATATATCATATATATACACTCATTGTAGTCATAAGGTTTTTCATTCTTAGTTCTTTCGAATTAAGAGGTGCAACTCTATGACATAGTCATAAAGTTCAAACCATTCAACTGAGACGGTTTATAAATCCTTCTCGACTACCTTGGAGCTTTTTGGTATAGGAACTAGGTTGTTATATTTGTTGATTATTATCTTGTCTCTCAAAGAACCATTCTTTGAGTTCTATCCCTTGTTCATTTGCTCTTAGGCAAATCACATTGTAGGATTACAATGAACTACCCAACAAAACAACATTTGTTAGTTGGTTTATAGAAGCGATATCCAAAAGTTAATTTAAGGATATCCCACAAGATTGTTATCAAACAAATATTGTTTATTAGCTCACAACCCCAAATCTTAACATGTTTTAAGATTTGTCTTTCTTTCCAACTACATCTTATGGAGTCATGAAAATATTGGAAGATCTTCTCATTGACAATCATATTGTTTTAGAAGTATATATCCTATATATGGGTAATAGATAACATCTAACGAACTAAATCTTATTCGAGTTCGTTCTTCTCCTAATGGAGAATTACATTATCTTATGATGCTTATTTCCTTGATATCTTTCAAGGAAACTGTTCTAAAGTGTTACCTTATCTTGGATCAAATCTAAGGAGGTAAATACTTTAGACGTCTTACTCATCAACTTACATTTCTTGAATTCTTTGAAACCTTTTACAAAGTATTCGAACTTGTGTTTATTCAAAATAAACTATAGTCCAACCGAGAGTGATCTTCGGTGAATGTCATATAACATGAGTAGTATTATGTTTGTGGACAAGTGCCACTAACATCTAAGTGAATTAACCTCAACAACTTTGTGATTCTTTCTTCTTTCCAAAAGAATAAAGATTCGAACATTTCGCCTCTATACAATTTTAACAAGAAGGTATTGGATCCGGATCTAACGATCCAAAGCGTCCATCTATGACCAACTCGTAATTTATGTTTTAGAGGTATCACAACTTTAGTTGGGATTAGTCACTACCTTGCAACCTTTTGGGTTTTAAGCATAATTATTTTCTAAACAGTTAACACTACCATATTATCTCTACTATAGAGATAATTAATTAGATTACAATAATCTAATCATTCATTAATAAAGAACAATGTTTTGTCAAACAAAACATTTATCCATTTCACATAGTGACGGAATTTAGTTCCTTAAAATTGGAATATAAAGACAATCTACGTTTTTCCAATTTCTTTGGTAGTTCATATGAGGAAGTAAGTACCATCTGCTTTCGCAGAGATCTATATTTGATTCACGTTTTGAATGTGAAGTACTTTCTCTTCTCTCATTAATTTTCTACTTCTTATTAGCTACACTTTTACAACGATTGTAAAACATAGTTACTAATACGGAATCAAGCATTCAAGTAGAAGAACCAACTGTTTTGAACTATTCAAGAACAATTTACAACACCTTCGAAAGGTGTGTTCTTGACACTTGCAAGACATTTCTTGCAAATACCCCTTCCAATGTCCATCCTTTCATAAAGAAAGTTTGTTCCCTTGGAGTTAATCTTATCTTCTTCATTTGACTTCTCCTTTGACTACAATAGTCATGGTCCCTAAACTCCCACTATCTCTCTTGAAACTTATTTCAATTGTGTTATACACATCAAACATTTTGGAGAGCATGTGGTTATTGTTCACTACATAGTTTACAATAAACTTAGTGAACCATAAGGATAGGGACACAAAGGTGAAGTCCTTGCCTAGTTTCCGTCTCGTTAAGTGGTTTATCACTTCAACACTCAATGATTCAAAATCATTATAAGTCCATGTTAATGGACTATTTTTGTCAACCAACTATTATGTTCTAAACATAATTACAAACCTTCAAGAGTTGTACAAGGCAACTCTCATTTCTTCATACAACAATTTGTAAGTGAAGAATCATGGCACATAAAGTGTCCATGCCTTTGTGCTTTCTTCTCAAGTTCTTTGTTCATTTAACAAAGAAACAAGCACTAGTGTTTGCATTGACTAAGGGTTGTTCAAAGCAACTTATTATTTCTACATACAACGATTTGTAAGTGAAGAACTAATAACACTAAAAGGTGTCCTTGTCATTATGCTAATCTTCGTAAGTTCCTTTGTTCATTTAACAAAGGATTAAGCATTGGTGGTTTGTGTTGTCCTCTTCATGATAGACTTATCTAACATGTTCTTTCAATGATACATTACCAATAGAACGATTTTGAGGATGAGACTACTTAGGTACATATACAATCCATTTTAGGACAATCTTTGGGATTGTGTTACCAAGTCCGGAAACTAAAGCATTCGGCTTTTCTTTGTCAAGTTTTGGATAGCGTTTGCAAATATATTGGTAAACAAATACATAACGAATATAAATTGATTGATTTTAAGCCATTTGATTCGGGTCTTTAAATCAAATAGCACCACCCACTATTTTTGGCAAATTCCATATCCCTCATTGGAATTCGAGAGTTTTGGATGAAACTCCTAGTAGGGTATGGGAGGCTCACTATTACCAAGCCCACCTCAGAAGAAAATCATATTGGCTAGCGTTAATAATAATGAGAGAGTACGCTTACTCATTTGCAACAACCTCTTGCAAATACCCATCTAGTTTGGCCTCTAGAGAATGATGCCTCAGAAGAATATCATATTGGCACCATTGCACTTAGTTAAGTCATTCCCACCATGCTAGTTCAAGTAGGGGTTCAAGAATGGCCTCAGAAGAATATCATATTGACCACACTCGTTGCCTACCTTTCACTTCATCATATGTGTATAGGCTTCTCCTGAATGTAAGCACATACTTTGCAACCCCAGAACTGGACGAATACGGTGTATGAGTCACAAACGATTGAAGCCTACCACGGTGGAAGGCCACGAAAGAGTGTTCAAAGCACTCTCACGCTTATCAACTTAATAAGGGTTTGGTTGAGGGTTTAGGTCTCATCACACATAAACATACATTTTAATCTCTATTAAAACTATTTTGGTCCTATTACAACTATTGGTCCATATGATTGTTTTTAGTTGTATATAATACTCCCACTATGCTTATAAAATGGTTTTTAAAGCAAGAGTATATGATACTACTAACATAACCTTTGCATTCATTTGATGGACTATATAGTTGCCTTAGGGCCTTAGGATGATTATGAACCTTTGTTTAGATTCAACACGAGCCTTGTGTTGAATCTCGGTCTAGGAATGGTGATTGATTTTAGTTACGCGTTTAATCACATTAAGGCGTGTTGTCTTAGGGGCGTTGGACCCAACTACTTCATTTTCATGCATATCAAATAAAGCAAGAAAGAAGTACTTCAAAGTAAAGGTGAGCTTATGCTTATTACAACATTTGCATAAAACAAATTACTTTAAAGTAAAGAAGAGCTTATGCCCTTTTACAACATTTGATCAAATCAAATTACAACCAAAGTCTAATCTACACATTCCCATGGTTCAAACAAATGTGAAACGGCCTTTCACATAGCTCAATTATATTAGGCTTAGGTTCATAATCACCCTTTAATTAATTAACACTTTAACTAATTAAATTGAATGCAACATTTTCATTTGGTTTTTGTATCCATAAAATTGATTTAAATGGAGCTAAACAAAATGAAAATCCAATTCTCATTTAAAGAGACAAAACAATTTTGTTCTCTACCTAATTTGGGCCAATATGCAATAACCACAACTTTTGGGCCATAAAGCAATTAACCTCAACTTTTGGGCTATATTGCAAAACTTTTGGGGTCACTTTGTAAGAACACAAAAGTCCACTACTTCATGTAATTACACTAGAACCCAAAATTTAATCAATGCAAAAACTTCATTAAAGGAGCAAAACAATTTGTCCTTTAGCGTTTTTGGACCTAAACGTAAAAACGTAAATTTTTGGGCCAAAGTGCAAATACACAAAAGTATCAAAACTTTATGTAATTGCATAAAAGGCCCCAAAAGTACCCCCACTAGGGGGTGGCCGGTTTTGGAAGAGGATATGAGTGATGTGTGTGTTGATTTGTGAGTTTTAGACATAAAGCAACAAGTGGTGCAAGTGGTGTGTGTGAAAGGGAATTAATCCTTACACACCCATCACCATTTCCATCACCTTTCAAATAAATGTCTAATGCATTAAAACATTTGAAAAAACATAAAACATAAACTTTATGAAATAAATCAAAACTTTGAATCAAAACACAAACCTTTTTGTTCTTGGCAAAAATGTCAAGAACAATGAAGAACATTCATGAAAAACCCAAAATTTTTCCATGAACTTTTTCCACCCAAAAACATTCCAAAACCATTCAAACTTTAGGGAAATAACATCTAACCAAACTAGGGTACATAGGGGTTCCAAAAGTCACTTGAAAACACTGTTAACAAGTCAAACAAGAACCCAAAAATCCACCCTTTGGATTTGGCCGAAAATCCCCAAAGTCATGGCACCAAATTTTAGCTCCAATATTCATGCTCATATGAACTACATCTACAACATTTGAGATGGCAAATTTTCTAACAAAATTTACATTCAAAGAAACAAGAATAAAGCTTGTAACATATTACAACTTTTAAATCACAAACTATGAACTACAAAACCCAAAAGGATATAACATTTTGGATATAACAAACTATGGTCTCATGAATCTAACTTCATTAGATTACATTCTCCCAATCACATATTCCTTGGACTTTATCGTTTAAGCATATAACATTTATATGAGACGGCTCAAACAATAATCTTTGCCTTTTATAGTTAAACTAGATTAGTTTAACATGTGAAATGTCCGTAAAGTATCATCATATGATTGGATTTAGGGCACATTTCCAACACACCCTTCCTTGAGGCCTCAATATACCAGATAATATTGCCAAGAATCATCTCCAATTTGTTATCGTTTCTGAATCAACAATAGCATAAGCAACCTCAAAAATCTCTGCATAGCATAAGTGAAAATGCACTGTCAAATGTCAACTACTTCTAAAACTGTAATTGAACTATTTAGTATACTCTATTTGAACTACTTCTGCAACCTTTTTTCTTTATTTGAACATAAAATCAAAGACCAATGCACAAAAAAAAAAAAAAAAAAAAAAACAGATACAGTCAAAGTATCACCTATTTATGAGACTGATTGAACTATTTCTTAAACTGTTCTTCAACTAGTTTTGGATATGTTTCTTTTGCATAGTAAGAAATATAGAAACAAATAATATCCAATATAAAAGTCTGAAATTATTAACTCACCATCGTTACCATTTTTTGCACAGCAAGACCCCTTGTATTTGGTCTTGATAAAAGTACCATCAATGAATAACATCGGGCGACAAAACATGAAACCTTTTATCCATGCATCATAAGCAATAAACAAACGAAGAAATCTATTGCTCTCCGGTACAACTTCAAGCTCAAAAACAGATCCAGAATTGCTTGAACGAGCAGATTCAACATACCAAGGCAAGAACTTGTAAGCATCAACATCATCACCATTTAACTCAAAAACTACCCTCTGTTTGCCAAAATAGGCAATAGAATAATCGATATGTAATCCATAAAACTGTTTTAAATTTGAAATGATCTCCTTCGGTTTAATAAAAGGATTTGACTGAACCTTATCCTTGATGAGAGAAGCAACAAACTGTCGGCCAACAACTTTGTTTTTCTTCTTTCGAATCATACCCTTGCATGTATGCAAATTATGCAACTTACGAATAATAAAAAAGTTATTAATATCACACTTGGATGCATACACACACCAAAGACAGCCATCAGATTCCTTCCTAAAACACTCCGCACTAATGCGATTCTTATCATTCTTCAAATACTTCAAATCAAAACCACATTCAACATAAAACTTCTTCAACTTATCTCGGAAATCAACACAACCTCCCCTAAAGACTTGCCCCTCAGATTCTATGTAATTGTCCCATTCACATGATATATAATTGTGCACACCGTAAGAATCATACTTTCCTAAATGGTCATTTTCACTGGAAACAATCATAGAGTCTAGTGTACATCAAGAAGAAGATGTGTTTTCCGTAGGTAACTGAACTATGGAACCATCACATTTATCTATAACCAATATTTCTACAATCGATTTCCCAACAACATCAAGAACCATCAGCATGTCAGAACATCAGCAGCACAATCTAACACGCAATTAGGATTTTCATTCAAACCATATCGCAACTCAAAACAACCAACTCTCAAACCCTTAAACCTAGAACAAAGATCAATGCAAATCTGATTGAAGGTAGAAGATGATGAAATAGAACTAACGACGCATAAACCACCATATGTAAACTGAGCTAGTTTACAATTCTCCATAACTGTTTTTTAATAAACAACAACTGTTTATTAATCGGTTGCAAATCTAAATTTCAATCTTTGTAAAACAAATCAGTACCTAATAATTAAACAATATGCATATAAAGTGAACAAAAATAACACTATTTATAAAACACAACAATCACAAAAACAAAAAAAAAATAAAAAGTAAACTGAAATATCCACAATTTCGTAAAAAAAGAACACTATTTCTGCAAAAATGTTAAAAACATAAAATGTGATGAACACCTATTAGTTAAACAATATACATATAAAGTGAACAAAATTACACTAGTTATAAAACACAAGAATCACAAAAACAAAAAATAAACTGAAATATACACTATTTCATAAAAAAGAACACTATTTCTAAAAAAATGTTAACAACATCAAATGTGTATAACATGAATTAATTCAAAATAAATTTTTGAAAAAGAAAAACAAAATCAAGATGACCAACATACAATATAAACAAAACAAAACAAAACAAAACAAAAAATCAAAACTTACCTGAGATCTTCGAAATAAGAAACTCCTAACTGAAAATTTCACAAACCGGAATCAATCTGCTAATCTGAAAACAAATCAAGAACAATATATAAGTCAAATAAAAAGCTAAGCATAATTCATGCAAAAAAAAATTCAAAATCGAATTCCAATTTAAAAAAACAATAAAAAACAAACAAACAAACAAATCAAAACTTACCTGAGATTCTTCGAAACTCCTAACTGAAAAGTTCACAAACCGAATCAATCTGCTAATCTGAAAACAAATCAACAACAATATATAAAGTCAAATAAAAAGCGAAGGATATTACATACAAAAACGAATTCAAAATTGAATTCGAATTAAACAAAAAATCGAATTCAAAATCGAATACAAAACTGCAAAAACAATGTCGATTACCTCCAAACGAAAATCTAACCAAATATGAAAGACGATCACTCCAGTTAAAATATTCAAGCACAACGAACAACACCGATGACAACGATTCAATAGAATCTCAAAATATGCAACCACTGCGAATCTGTTCTGAAACAAAGATTTATTCCGGAAAAATCCCCCTAACAGGGACGAAGAACAACGGCGATCACGATTTCAAAATGCGCTCTCAACATTCGTCGGCAAGCATTACTCAAACCACTCAACCAGATTCATAAAAAATTGAAAATCCCTCTGAAACTGGTCGACAAAAATTAAAATTCAATTAGTTTATATGTTCGGCTAACCCCAAACCGACTAATCTAACATAATAGTTAAATTAGGTTAACCACATCCGTTAGGGGTAAAATTGACAAACCACAATGTTATTTAGTCTGGACTATTGTATTTGGTCTGATATAAAAATGGGCTTTGTACTAACCATTAAATAAACTTTCAATGTGGTTTTTGGTTAAAAGTTAAACTTTTTCAAGCCCTTTTGGTTAGTTTTCCTATAAATTTACCCGTCACTACCAAGTTTAGTAAAGAATAAATTAAATTTTATTCTTCTAAAGAAATGTATATGTTTGAAATGTAAGAGACTAAAGTTAAAAACTATATCTAATGTAACTTTAACATAAGATGGTTTAAGAGGCTTGTATACCTGACACCTTCCATATAAGTACAAGAACTTAGTAGGGTGTGGTCAGTGCCACACGGCAGTTCTAACTGAACCAGGGAATTTATCCACTTCACTTACATATCATTTATTTGCAAATTGCTTTTATAGTATTTATGCGGATTTCTTTTTTGTTGTTCAATTGTTCTTTTGTTTGTGTAATATATATAAAACTAAAGTTAAAAACTATATCTAATGTAACTTTAACATAAGATGGTTTAAGAGGCTTGTATACCTGACACCTTCCATATAAGTATAAGAACTTAGTAGGGTGTGGTCAGTGCCACACAGCAGTTTTAACTGAACCAGGGAATTTATCCACTTCACTTACAGATCATTTATTTGCAAATTGCTTTTATTGTGTTTATGTGGATTTCTTTTTTGTTGTTCAATTGTTCTTTTGTTTGTGTAATATATATATATATATATAGATATATATATGCATGTGAATATGCATGTATTGTCCTTCGCAGATTACTCATTTCATATATACAGTGAATTTTGTATTGAAGTTGTGAGTTTAAAGGAAAAGAGTTGCACATGCCGACAATATGATCTTGACCAGCTACCATGCTCACATGCTTATGTTGTATGTAGACAGCGACAAATTTCATGTTATCTTATGTGTTCCCATTATAATACTATAAACTCTTTGGTCATTGCGTATGCCGATTGGTGCATGTCGATCTTGCCGAACAATTACTCGTGTTAGAAACTTAATGGAAATGAATATTCGAAAATGAGAATCTTATTAGTACGTTCCCTAGTTTGTTTTGGATTCGGTTTTAGTATAGGATTTGATTTCTTGTATTCTAGGGACTTTGTGTAAAACCACGGTATCTATTAGTATAAATAGATGGTTGCGGGATAGGGTTTGTATGATGTGAGTTTGAGAGGCATCAGTTTGTATATGAGAGGCATCAGTTTGTATACGAGAGAACATTTTGTATTTGTGAGTTCTCTTGTATTCATTGGTTATCTATAAAAACTTCCGTTGTTAGAGAGGCACCCCTATATTGGAGGAACTCTAAATTTGTGTTTGTGTTTTGTTTATTGCTTGGTTGTGTGGTTTAGTTTACAACAGAAGCATAGTGCAACACTACATAAAATGTGCTGTATTTGATTAAAAGAGTAACAATATCTCAATTAATCGAAGAATTAGTACTAATCTTACAACTTAATGATTAAAATATGAATTACACAAAACAATGAAACAATAGATTATCCTAATTAATTATATTCAATTCTATGAAGCGGTGCATTCCACCGGGAGGCCTTGGGGAAATCTCTTGGTGTCAGCACAGTAATTGTAAATCATGTAGTTGGTCTGCACCCATTTCAGCCTGTCTTGGCTTATAGAGTCCAAGTCTTGAGAAAGCCAAGCTCCATTGTTAGCATTACTTGAAGTTGCAGAACTGCAAGAAGAGGCTCCAGAAGTCCAGACGCACGCTTCAACACTGAAATTCCTGTGAGGCGGCGAAAGGAGCTTGGCTCCAATCGGTCTTCACAAGTCCTCCCCTCGTTGCCCAATCATCGGCATTCCACAGGCTCGAGTATATCCTCATCGGCTGGCTTTTTGGAAACGGAACGTCGTTCGACTCTTGGTTCTTGAACTCTCTGATGGGAGTTCCATCTACTGAGAATATAATGCGCTGGGAGTTCCAGAGGATGGTATATGTGTGGAAGTCGGCAATTGGGTCAAACCAGAGGTAGAATTGCAGCTCTCTGTTGCCTTTGCCTTGGCTGAAGACATTGGTGTGAAGAATGTAAGGGTCTCCACTCAAGTTCCCCAAGAACTCAAAGTCTATCTCATCCCATGTTGATCATTTTGAGGATAACTGCATGAATTAACAACAAAATTGATATCAAAATCAGTCAGAATGAGATTCAAAATCCGGCCGTTCCTAGAGAAAAGGTCCACATTGTTCTAGCTAACTGACCTAAACTTGAGTTTATCATACTTGTACTAAAAAACTTGAAGGAAATGAATATTCGAAATGAATGAAAACATACGTAGTAGGCTGTGACGGTGCCAGCGGAGTTTCCAGGGACAAGCTTGAGCTGCATGTCGATCTTGCCGAACAAATACTCGTGTTAAGATTGAAATCAAGAATCGGAGGCTTTGTCGAGAGAAGGGGTAAGAAGCTCGCCGTTGTTGAGAATCTTAACACGTCCGTCCCCCCATGTAATCTCAAAGTCTTGGTTTAAGTCGGCAGTGTTAGAAATTTAAATAGTTTGAGTAGACATTTCATTGTCCCACATTGGCCATTCCCAAAAGGTTTTATCACTTTATAAGGCTTTGTCCTTTATAGAAAGTTATTGGAGTAATAGGCCTGGAGACTAAAATTGGGCTCACCCTTGGGGCTGGGCTTTGGGGTGCATTAATTAATTGGTAATTAATATATAATTAATAATAAATAATATATAATTAATTATCAAAAGATGGGCCTTGGGATTTAATTAAATTATTTAATTAATTATTTTTCAGATTTAATTAATTATTTTTTAAAATTCGAATTTGAAGTCTGAGAGTTCTTTCTGAACACAGAGCAAAGCACCCCTTGAAGAGAAGTCTTCCAACAGTCACACCCCATTCTCATACCTGTTGCAAACAGGCATCCATCTGCTATATATACATCCATATGCATGGCATTTAGTAGACAGAAAATAATCAACTTCATCTTCTACATTCCTAAACCTTCTTACTGAGAGAACCATACTAAATTCGCCAGAAGTTAAATTTTCCGGTGCTGGAATTTTAACTTGATCGTTGAATCTTGGTGAAACAGACGTCCGTAGAACTACAAGCAAGCACAGAGTAGGGACGAAATTTCTGTTTCAAGGACATTGCGGTACGCAAGCCTCGATCTTCAAGTTGTTTGTTTTTTTAATTCGTATTCTAGTTTATATTCTGTTAATTCCTATTGCATTCATTATTTATTAGCATATATAAATTATCACAGATTGTTGACATACATCCAACAGGCAGCAGAGCCAGCAGCCACCACAAAGCTTAGTAGAGACATCGGAATAAGTAACATTAAGGAAACACTTAAGGTGGAAGAAGCCATTG